GCTCAGGACGCCCCCGTCCTAACCCTCAGATGCCTTGCTCTCCCTAAAACGTGTCCTGGTTTTAGGGGAATCCAGCAGCGGCATCAGCCGAGATGATTACATTGGCCACGTTGCCAAGGACATAGAGAACAAGATGCCCCAAATCTTTGACTTGGACCAGGTCAGGAAGCACCTCGGGGTGGGACTCTCCCCCACCTCGGTGGTGCTTCTGCAGGAGCTGGAGCGCTTCAACAAGCTCGTCACACGGATGTCCAGGTCTCTGGCTGAACTTCAGAGGGTGAGCACGCCCCTCGTGTGCAGACCTCTGCCTACACACAGTACCCGGTTTTCCCACAGTCTTGCCTGACCGCTATTGATTCTGCGAACAGGCCTTGGCCGGAGAAGTTGGAATGAGCAACGAGTTAGATGACGTAGCCAGATCTCTCTTCCTCGGGCAAATCCCTAGTATCTGGAGAAAGCTGGCCCCTGACACATTAAAGTCCCTTGGAAACTGGATGCCCTACTTCCTGCGGCGGTTCAGCCAGTACACATCGTGGGTAAGTGAGAGACCACAGTCTGTGCGTCAGTTCGAGGCTCAGCCTGGACCACCCCCCTCCCCAACCACCTCCAACCCCTCTCCGGCGCCCCGGAGGTACCTTCTATTAGCGGTGATTGGGTGCTCGAGAAATGGCTCCTGACTCTACAAGCATACCTGTATCTTTTTTTTTTTCCCTTTTCTTTTTGTTTTTAAGACTTTGAAGCCTATTATGCACAACTTGATTTGTTCGTCTCAGAGTCCATCTTGGCCACTGTCCATCTAAGTGCATTTAGGTCGACCTTATTCTTTTAAGGGGACTCCATTTTACAGATATTCCATGTCCTTTCGCCTGCTGGACATTTGGGTGGTTCCCTTTGGGGTTCCCCCCCCCCCATTTTGCCAATACAACATTCTGGCGCACGTAACTTTGGATGCACATGAGTATATTTCACAGGTAGGTCCCTACAGCGGAAGTGTTGGGACTCAGTGTGTGCGTTTTGCATTCTTTTTAATTTTTTTTAATGTTTATTTTTGAGGGAGAGAGAGAGAGCGTGCGCGCGCGCGCGCATGAGTGGGGGAGGGGCAGAGAGCGAGGGAGACACAGAATCCGAAGCAGGCTCCAGGCTCTGAGCTGTCAGCACAGAGCCTGATGCGGGGCTCGAAGTCACGAACCTTGAGATCATGACCTGAGCCGAAGTCAGATGTTTAATTGACTGAGCCGCCCAGGCACCCCAATGTGCATTTTACATTCCAACAGCTCTTGTCACATCGTCTTCTAGAGAAGTGGAAACCACAGCGAGTGAACACGATTATTTCCTCCCCTTGCTGCACCATGTGTGTTCTTAATATTTTGGATCTTTTTTTCCTGATAGGTAAACGCTCATATATTTAGGTGTGCGTTTCTTGAGTTATGGTGAGGCTGAGCATATCTTACACACATATAGCTGTTTCATGTTTTTTCTGTGAATTGTCTTTTCGTGTCTTGATTTCATTTTTATCAAGTTCTCTATCTTCTTAAACTGATGTTTGAGAGCTCTTTGTGTATCCAGGAGATGGGCCCTTGGTCTGCTGGTGTTGCAAGTGCTTCCCCCCAGCTCGTCAGCATCTTTTGATTTTTGCCTATGGCACTTCTTCCAGAAGAAAGTTTTACATTTTTATTTGGTCAGATGTCTCGGTCTGTTCTTTTATGGCCTCTGGGTTTTGCACGTCCAACTCAGGATCATGACAGTGTTCACTGGAGAGCCGACCTGGTACTCTCGTGGTTTTATTCTTTAAGTCTCTGCTCCTTCTGGAACCGGGTGGTTCAGCTTGTTCTCCCAGACAGGCCGCCGTTGTTCCGACACCGTCCTTTTGCTGCGAAGGTGAACTGTGTCTTTTATCCTGACCCGATCTTCTGGTCAGCTCTGGCCCTGGCATTCGGTGGCGGCCCCGGTCTCCCGCCGCCTTGCCCCCTGCCTTCCAGGTCACTGAAAGTGAGCCCGGCGTGATGTGGCTCTCGGGGCTGCACATCCCGGAATCCTACCTCACGGCCCTGGTGCAGGCCACCTGCCGGAGGAACGGCTGGCCGCTGGACCGCTCCACCCTGTTCACGCAAGTGACCAAGTTCCAAGATGCAGATGAAGTGAACGAGCGGGCAGGACAAGGTACGGTCAGCTCCCTATCGGGTCTTCCTCCCCGAGCCATCCCCCATTCAGAGGAACAAGCATGGTGTGGGCGGAAATGGGCCAGGCCGGGTTTGAAAGGAAGGCTGCTGCGAATATTGGCTGTACGTGTGCACGGTCTGTGTCTCGATCTCTCTGGGGGTCGATACGTGCGTTTCTCTTCCAGTTCCAACACCGAGACCCGGGGTTGATGTCAGGAGGGACCTGAACCACGTTCGCCCTGCTCGTTTGCGGAAGTGGCTCCTGGGTCAGAATTAGATCGTTCAGAGAAAGGAGGGCCCGAGGGCTTCCCTGGAAACTTTGAGGGGCTGGGGGCGTGGGAGCCAGAGGGCAGGTTGGACTAGGTTCCACCCATGAAATTACAATGTCAGTCCCTGTGACACTGGTGACTGACGCTGCCGTTCCCCAGGGCAGTGCTGCCGCCATAGTCGGAAGACATTTACCCGTGAGCCACAAAAGCCCTGTTGAGTGAGCTTAGAGATGGGGTTCACGGTGGAGATTCAGGGATGCTCACTGAAGCCTCGGAGGAACTCTCTGGGCAGGTGACTGTCCTCTCCTCTGCCACTGTGTGTGTCTGCCGTGTTCTCCCCAGACACCATTTTCTCGGTGAGGCTTTGACTTCCTCTCCGCACTCCCTCTTGGCCCACCACCAAGCTGTGGTGCTTCTGTCTTTATAACCTGGGGGCCCAAGCAGTCTAGGTCTGTGTGCCCTGAAGCCTGACTGGTGGGGGAGGCAACTCTCCCTCGTCTCCTTTGCCAAAGCCGTGGGGAGGGGAGGCTCACGGCGTCTACGGTGTCCTTCTGCAAAGGGAAGAAATGACGGCCACGTCTTTTGGACAAAGGCCTGGGCTATGTCTGGGGGAGGAGAGCGAGGGAGTTGCCTCTGTGTGTGCACTGTGGACATACCTAGGGCCACTGTGTGCACAGCAGAGTGGCCGGTGCCTCCACATAAACCCTGGGCTCTTCCCGGGATATCCAGGATGCTTCGTCTCAGGACTGTATCTCGAAGGCGCTGATTGGGATGTGGAAAGAGGATGTCTTATCAAGAGCAAACCAAAGGTGCTGGTGGTCGACCTGCCGATTCTGAAGATCATCCCCATCGAAGCCCATCGCCTCAAACTACAGGTAGAAGGCGGACGCCTGTTCCTGGCTCCGTCCTCCCCTCCCCGCCCCCCACCGGGGGCACGGTTGGGGGGACCGGGGTGGGGGGAGGATTGCAATTCAGTCTTACCCTTTAAGCACCCTTACAGGTTCTTAGCCTTTTGTGGGAGGGGGGGAAGCCCCAAGACAGGACAACAGCGTGGAGCCACCTTCCAGGAAGACACACGCATGCAAACGTGTGTAAGCAGAGACTCCCCCCGGGGTTGGGGGGGGGGCACGGCTTCAAGTTCGGAGCTGTGGTCCAGATTAACTTCAGGAAGAGACTCCTCCATTCCCTTGACCTTCTGCGGGCACTGCCTGAATCATAAAATACTTACGTCTGATGTGGACAGCGGGTGCCCCCTGCCTCGTCGGGCCCGGATGCCCGTCTGATGAGCGTAGCTACACGAAGCCCCATCCGCGGTCAGCGGAGGGCGGCCCCGCAAAGCCCCTTGAAGCCTCGGCCAGGCCTAGCAGGAGGCGCCCGCACTCTCAGCACCTAGATTGGGCTTCCTACTTCCCGGGCTTGAGCTCCTCTGCCGCCCGTGGGGGATGCCTCACGTGCCTCTCCTTTGCAGAACACCTTCCGGACGCCGGTCTACACCACCTCCATGAGAAGGAATGCCATGGGAGTTGGCCTGGTGTTTGAAGCCGATCTCTTCACCACAAAGCACGTATCTCACTGGGTGCTGCAGGGGGTGTGCCTCACCCTGAACTCCGATTAACCTTTTGGGCGAAGGAACCCGCACTTGTGAGCTCCGTCCCGTCAGCTCCATCAGCTCCGTGGGGCCTCGAGAGGCTGGAGCTGGGCTGATGCTGAGACTCCTTTCATTTGAAACCAGCCGTTTTAATCTCTTTCCATATAAATTGAGCTGACAGTTTTGTTTTTTGAAGCGATTTTTAAGGATTCTGCGGATTTGAAAAGTAAATACTGGAGAGCATTTTGAAATGTGTTTTCTTTCCCTTCTCAGAGGAAATGTGTGATTAGGCAGAAGTGCCCCACACGCCACTGGCACGAGTGAGAATTCTAATGGAAAATGTCAAGAGTGTGCTATTGACAATCCAGGTCTGTCTCAGTAGACGCCTCTCTTTGGCAGGAGCGGCCTGCTGGGTGTGGGGTCCGGGCTGACGATGCCAGCCTAGAGCAGAGATGGCCACTGTCGCCCACCGCCACCCCTCCCCCTTCCCGAACTCTCTGGCCTGCAAGGTGGGGGTGGGGGCGAGGGCCCTGAGCTCGGTGTTGAATTCCTGCATGAGCTCCTACCCGCGACCTGGCCGGATCTGCGTGGGGTTGGGTGGGTGCAGACCTAAAACAGCCGGAACTGGCCCCCGGGGTCCCTTCGTTCTGCGCACCCTGGGGCGAGCCCGGAGCCCCGGCCAGGCCCGCCGGAGACACCGAGTAGCTTTACTTCGCCAGGGAGGAGCAGGGTGGAGCACCGGCAGGGCAGGGGGCGGGGGCCGGTCACGGGCAGAACGTTCCCAGGGGCAGCCCTGGGCAGGGCTGGGTGACAGGGACTCCTCTTCCCGGAAGCAGAGCTGCCCCACCCCTGGGGCCGGAGCCCTGGGAAAAAAACATGGGGCGAGAACGCGGTAATTACTGGGGGGCCTGCTGTGTCTCCTCCCCCAGCTTCCCCCCAGCTCCTCCCTCAGGTAGTTTAATAAAAGACACAAACCAGAAAGAGGCAGGTTTAGAAAATAAAGTTTGTTGGGATCTTGAACATTTTGGATAAAACTAACCAAAAAATATGAACACACATTCAGGTTGTGGTGACACGAGGAGTAACATCATCTTATTTCGTTCCCGCGATAGACACATACAGCTGCTCGGCTATCGGGGCCGCCCCGGGGGAGGCTTGGTGGGAGGTTACGGGGTCTCCGGGAGGGAGCAGGGGCTGCTCTGGACGGGCCGCCCTAGGAACTGGAGCGAGAGGGTCGAGGCCGGTCGGCACGTGTTGCTCCGGCTGTATAGTTAGGCGGGTTGACTATCCGATTTCATTAACGTCGAGTAGTGATGCAGCCTGTGGCCTGTGCTTTGTCCACGAGCGCACTGAAGTTACACGGAGTGGGATTAGAAGCGAGCGATTCGGCACACAGGTGTTTGGCCACGGCAATCGGTAAATAGGTATTCTGCAGCAGGGACATGATCGTATTCTGGTGTCAGTACCAGGGCAAAAGGAGCAGGAGAATAAGAATGTTGACGTGTCTGAAAAAAAATTTGGCATGCAGGGGAATTGGAGAAAAAAAAAAAAAGGCGTGGATGAGTTTTCCTAGTAGTGATCACAGTGCATCGACAGCCAGGGGGGAAGGGTCGCCCGGGCAGGCTTCACACAGTTCTGTCCGTCCCTGAGTGCTTCCTCGCGGCCTTTCCTCCGTTCACCTGGTCGACCGCCAGCGTCTCCACCTCGGGCGGGGCCTGCGGCGGGGCGGCGTGGTGGATGCGGTGGGCCACCCCCACGTGAGCCTTGTGCTGCTTCTCGCGGGCCGGGCTGTGCGGCTCGCTCGAGCCGCGGTCGGAGGCGATGGGGGGGGATGACCAGGGGCCTCTCCTTGACGAGGTGGACCTCGGCCGATTCCCGGGCCAGCAGGAACGGGGTGGGGTCGGGCATGGCGTCCACCGGCTCCCGCAAGAGTAGTTTCCGGCTCTCGGCCCCGAATCTGTAAACCTCTTCGAATTCCGGGTGCAGGGGGGCCGAGAGGCTCTTTTTCATTCGGCGGCGGGGCGTTTCGGGCAGCTTGTCCTTGGGGGGGGCCGGCTTGTAGCTGGCCAGCACGGGGCTCCCGGAAGGGCTGCCGTCCGAGGTCCCGCCGGAGCTCATGAGCTTCCTCTTGGCGGCGTGCAGCTGCGAGGTCAGGTAGGCGATGGTCCCGGCGCGCTGCTCCAGCTCGCTCGACAGCATGTTCAGCTTGTGGCTCTTCAGCTTCAGCTCCTCCAGGTACTTCCTCTCGCGCTCCCTGACGGTGCTCTCCAGCACCAGGATCATGGCGTCCTTCTGCTCCAGCTCCCGGAGCAGCTCGCTGTTCTCGTCCTCCTTGAGCTTCAGCTGGGCTTCCAGCTCCTCGCATCTTCTCTTTAGTTCGCTGCTTCGGGAAGATCCATCTCCTGGAGGAATGAGCCGAGGGACAGGATTGAGCGCCAACCCCTCCCGGAGCAGAGGCACGGAGACTGTCTAGGCTGGCCTCACCTCCCAGGGCGGCCGCGTGGAAGGCGGGGCTGGGGTGGGGGCACATTGCTCCCACGCTCCATCCTGCCCCATCTCCGTGCCCTCCCCGCCGCCCCCCTCCACCCCCACCCCATGTGGGGATCACGTGGCCTCTGAGCTCCCTCCCGCTCTCAGTTCTCTGGCTCCTTGCACAAAAGCGTGCCTCCAGAGCTCAAAAATGCCCAAGTCACAACGGGCAATTCTCCGGGTTTCGGACCCTGGCACGTACCCAGGAATAAACTGTGAGCAGATCCAGCTGTCTGCTCAGGCGGCATTTATCGAACACCCGCTCCATTCGGCGTGCCGTTGTGAGACCCAAACGTAGACTCTCTCTGTGTCCGAGCACAGAGCTCTGAGGCTGCCCCTTCCTGCCACACGGGTCCCCTCTCTCATCGTGTCTCAGAGGGCAGGTGTCCCTGTGCCTGCGCTCGGCTCTCCTCGGCCCCCCTGGCCCCTCACCGTGCGCCCACAACCAGCCGCTCAGGGACACCCCGGGGCCGGTGCAGGGTGGGAGCTGGCGTCTGCGGGCACCTCTCACGTGAGGAGGCGGATCCGGGGCTGCGGACCGATGTTGGGTGGCCCCAACGTTTTGGGCGCTCCTTCGAATGCCTGCCTCTGCCTCCCTGAGACCCCAGACAGCTGCTCCTCGGTGACCTCTGTTCCCAGGGAGCAGCCCCTCCCGTCCTGGCCATTTCCACTCTCCCACGGGAAGCTCTGCCCCACCACGTCCTCCACACGCACGTCCCGTCTTTCTTTCCCCAGGGAAGCTGCGCCTGTCCTGTTCATCGCCTGCAGCAGAATCTCCCCAGCTGCCTGAGCGCTCAGTCACCACGGCGCTTGTGTTTTTGCATTTTTTCTTTTAATTTTTGAGTAAGCTCTACACCCAGCGTGGGGCTCGAACTCAACCCTGAGGTCAAGAGTCCCCTGTGCTACCGACTGAGCCAGCCAAGTGCCCCTCACTGTGGCATTTTTAAAACAGATTCTCAGGTCCCCTCCCTGACCCTCGGAATCAGAACCTCCAGCGGAGGAGCCCGTGTCTGCACCCCGTGTCCCCACATTGAGCAAGTTCTGCATCCACTAAGGTAAAGAAGGGATTTCCAGCCCCGGGGAGGGGAGATGCCCCAACCAGGACCAGCTAAGAGCTGTCACACCGCCTCCACAAGGAGGCATCCCTGGGCCGATTGTCATCTTGAGTCCAGGCTGCTGATGAGGCTGCGTGAGCTTTGGGACTTAGGCCCGAGAGCCTTGAGGAGCTCTCTAGGGGCCAGGGGAGGAGGGACTGGGCATAGGAGCTCCCTCCTCCTGGAAGCAGAGAGGGTTCAGGGCAAGAATTGTGTTTCTTCAGGTTAGCCTGGCCAGGAGGTGGCAGGAAGCGAGGACACTGATTTCTGTGACGTGGATGGCAGGGGCGCAGGACATCCTATTCTCCGGAATCCTCAGAGGCCCAGATCCTGGTCCAGGGCTTCAGGGGGTGAGGAGCGTCCTGCCTCCGCAGTGAGGCCCAAAGGGTGGGCTCCGGTCCCCAGGCCCCTCCTCTCATCGACAAAAGGACATGGTCCCTGAGAGGCGTACTTAGGAGACTGTAACCTGAGTGTCATGAATGGAAAAGTCAATCCTTGGTGATGCACTGAGATCCACGGAAAGGCCTGCATCTGTTTCAAGGGCTTGGGCGTGCTCATGAATAATAACTGCCATTGTGAAGGCTAGAGAAAGGCATCTTGGGGCACCTGGGTGGCTCAGTCCCTTGAGGGTCTGACCAGAGTGTCTGACTGTTGATTCTGGCTCAGGTCATGATCCCAGGGTCGTGGGATCGAGCCCCACTCTGCGCTGAGTGTGGCAATTTTCTCTCTCTCTCTCTCTCTCTCTCTCCTTCTGCCCCACTCCCACACTCATGCTCTCTCTCTCAAAAAAAAAAGTGTCTTGACTCAAGTGTGGATTCTGCACACTTCCCCACTCTGTTCTGGGGAGCGAGCGTTTGTCGTTGGCCACAGAGGCCCCAGTTCTATCTTCTCTGCCCCAGCTGCCATCAGACTGATCTCTTTGGGGGTCCTGGAGGATTCTGGTTGAGGGGAAGCATTCTGGGGACTGCAGTCTAGAGGAAGACATTCACGATCCTCTGGGGACCATCCAGTAATTTGCTCGCTCATTCAAGTAGTTTTTAGGGAGCACCTGCTCTGTGTCAGGTCCCGTATGAGGCTCGAGGGACAGAAGAGGTGGGACCCTGCTCCTTCTCCTCTGTCTCTCTTTAAATTACATGTATTTCTTGATGATAGAAGGAACACATATTCACTGGAGAAAAATCAGAAAATCAAGAAAAGCTTATAACAGGCATTCCAAATATCGAAAGAAAATGAAGAAAATAAAACCGCTCCCCCTTCTCGCTGCGCTGACAGCCCCTCGTAACATCTCAGGGTCCAAACTTCCTTCCCGTCTTTTCTAGAAAGCTCTGGTCACTTGCGCAACTCTTCCTAGCAAGTGTGTTTTCTTCTCCGCGTGTAGGTAGTGCAAACAAATGGCACCAACACGTGCCACAACGGGAAGTGACACCGTCATTAACTTTCAGGGAGGACGTCCTTACCTGTCTGGTCCGCACTTTTGAGTGTCAGCTCATATGTTAAATCTAAAAAGGAAAGCATATGTGTTAATTGCGTATGGTTACAGTAGCTCTCAAAGCCTTCATCGGCTCTGAAAATGCAGAACCGACCTCCACGATCACCCCGCGCGTCCTGCCCAGACAGAGCAGGGCTCGGCAGCATCGGGGCAGGCGTGAGAAGGCAGAAACTGTCCTTCCTCGCGCTCGGAGGAAACCCGCCTTCCCGAAAACACACGCCAGCGGCCACAAGGAGCAAGCAGCCTGCTCTGTACGCGACGCTTCGGGGATCGGTTCCAAACTGCACTGCCCGTTCCAACCACCGCATCTGAATCTTCTAAGCCCTCAGTATGCCGAGAGATGGCTCTGCAGCTTTACGCCGGGTGCCTGTCCATCAGGCAGAGAGGGTGAGCTAATAAGGCACCGGAGTGCGCTCCGGCAACGGCAGGCTCGTCCACGACGGAGGGGAGCAGAGCCCCCTCCTCACCCTGCCCCCGAGTGGGCCTGGCACAGCTTCCGAGCCGGCCGCCGTCTGAGACGGGCCGGATCACAGGTCCCCGCTCTGCCCTGCCGCGGAGGGGGTGCGGGGCCCCCGGTACCTGTGCAGTGTTGCTGCAGCCGCCTGATCTCGGCGTGCAGCCCCTTGAGGGTGCCGGCATGCTCCCGCTGGAGGAACAGGAGGTTCTTCTGGGCGCTGTGCAGCTGGTTCTCCAGGTTTGTGGCTGCCATGCTGACATCCGGGTGACCTGTGGGAGACACAGACGCCGGCGGCCCTCCCTGACGCTGAGGGTTGCAGGGAGTAGGCCGGGAGAGGACGCTGCCCGCTGACCGCCCCCCTTGGCACGGGGGGCTCACAGGCAGCATGAGGCCCAGCTCTAGAAGGGGGGGCATCAAACCCCGGGCCCCCCGATTCCAAATCCTGGTCTTTCCACACGCCACCTATACTTCCACAGACTGTGACCAGGACAGCCATATCGGCAAAGATTTCCCTGATGAGCTAGGCACCCACAGCCGCCTCATGGGAAACCGGGTGCCTGGGCACCGGGGGCAACGTTTCCTCAAGATGGCATCGAGCGCTGGCCAAAGCAAGCGAGGGGTGGGAGGAAGAGGCAGGGGGAATTCCAGCGGAAGCCTCTGGATTTCATAGAGCTGAGAGGAAGCCCGGGTCTTTCTTTGGGAAAAGGGCCACGTGGCGGCTGTGGGAATCTGGAGTCTGTCCCCAAACCCTGCCTCCCTGCCCGCGGTGGCTTTTCAGTCCTCAATCGTCAGCTGCTCACACAGGGCCTCAGATTCTTGGCCTTTGTCGTAACTCAAGAAATGCGGTGAAGTCTATCGGTCTTTCTGGAAAAGCTACCAAAGAAATTCAAGATGCCTTGCATGACACTGAAAAACGCAAAGGACAAAAGGTGGGTAATTAACTTATAAATTGTTCTGATAAATACACAGCCTCAGAGCGCAGTTTCCTCATCTGCTTTGCCAAAGTTCCTCCCAGAGGAGACGCCACTTCTCAGATGGCTTCCAGTTTGTGGACAGACGGCTCTGGAGAAGACCACACACCCAGGCACTGTCGCCACGTTGGGTGACACCAATCGCTGTGCCTTGTAAGGTCAGTGACATATTTACACCCCAGCTCTGGAGCTAAGAAAAGCTCATGACTGGAACTCAAGACCCATGTCCTCACCGCACGGAAAAACTTCCCTCCATCCCCCCGGCGACCGGCTTCGCTCCAGAGGAATGGTAAGAAGGAGATTGTGTGGCAGGCGAGCCCGAGAAAGGGAAGGTAAAGGAGGAAGGGTGAAGGGAGCCAGGTACAGAGCAACAAAAGGACACTCCGGGCAGGACAGGGGCACAGCGCAGCGCCCGGCCGCAGGGTCAGCTGTGGACGTGGGAGATGCTGGTGGCGACTGAAAAGCGCCGAACCCGTACTTTCGGGGCTTGCCAATGAAGACAAAGAGCGACTTAAAGCTGATCCAGAACTCGCGGGCCTAGGGTGGTAAGAGAGCAGCTCGAAGCACAGTCTTGCCGCTCAGCAGGGCTCTTGCCCTCCGGCACCTGCCGTGCAATCTGAGTCCATCCAGAGTGCACGGAGCCTGGCGCACGGGCACCCCACGTGCCACGCCTTCGAGTAGGGGTGTGGCACCAGGGGAGCCTTCAGGCTGAGCAGCCTTTGATTCCAGGGGCTTCCCGCTCAGATGCTTAACTTCACAGGCACGTCTTGCTCAAAGAAAATGGGAAACATGAAAATTTCAAAAACGGATTTGTCCAGCATCGAAATGTGCCCGTTCACAGTCTCATCGCCTCGTGAATCAGCAGCTTTGAGTTGTACTTACTGATCTGTAATTCATTAGTTCACCGTGGCAAGCGCAGGAATGAGAAGGTGCCCTTGAAGCTCCCATTGCCGTGGGCAGACAGTCTCGGGAGGAAGACGCACCAGGCGAACAGGAAGATGTGAGTATGTAACTTGCGGAGCCGGCAAGGGAGCTGTGGCCGCTCCGTCCGGGGCTCCGATAGCAGGGGGCACAGGGTCATCGACCCCACGGCACCTCACCCGACGGGCGCTCTCCCCTTCTCCGTTGCTGGATACACACCAACAGTGTGGGCCCCCTCAGGCCCGAGGCGGCGAGTCGCGTCTCCAAATGGTATCCAAGCTACTAAATTATTTTCTATCAGCTCAAAAGGATAACAACATCACTGACTTCCGGAGGACAAAGAGTCGCTGTAGCTTAAACAAAAAGCGATGCTTCAACTTTCTCATCCTTAGCTCTTGTGACATGTGATCACGGTCGTGACCTAATCCTTCCAGTAAACGGGCAAGAATGAAGCTACAGAAGCATCCGGTTAGGCCACGGAGACACAGCTGAGAGACGTGGCTAATCTGGAAGAAGAAAAGAAGGTGGTCCCGCGAGGCTTAGTTCAGAATCTCTAAGACACTCTGGGGTCAGAGACACGAAGGAGCGTTCGTGACTCCCCCCTGGAGGGGTCGGCATGATGGCTGACGGGAAAGCTGCAGGGCGTCTGTGCCCATGAATAATGCATCCTGCCTGAGTAAAGGCATTCACCCCGTCTTGATGATGTGTCAACCAGTAACGGAGGGCGACATTCAGAGAGCACGGCTTGCACAACACTGCACTTTGTGTGTCAAAAGGGCACACGCTGTAAAGTGTGGGCTCTCCGTACCGCAGCTTTTTGTCTTGAGGCAAAATCCCATTTTGTTTCTAAGCGTCGCTGGGAGCGGTCAGCAGTTTCGCAGTTATTGGCTCGGCCGAAGGCGGGGTGGCCTCGACGCTGGCCTCCGAGATGGGGTGCCAAGGGCCCGGCACTCGAGGGCCCGGCCGCAGTAGCGGCCGCAGGGCAAGGCCCACGCTGGTGGTGTGCACGGCTCCGCCAGAGGAACTCCAGAAGTGGTGGGAACAGGCGCTGAAGGCAGAAGGTCTGCCGAACAGGCTGCTTTGACCGTGATCTGGAGGTTAAGCCACACGCGCA